TCTATGCCATTTTTAGCGGGTAGGACTAAGTGGCCTATTGAAACCACCAACGCGGTTCATGTACTGCCTATACTCTGTTTTCTTCTCCTTGCGGACCGCACCAACGTTGTTCCCTAGCACTTTCTGGTTCTTGGTCGTCCCAAAGCCTCCGAACCCCAGCATGGCCTGCATCGCATCCATGCCATCCTCTTCAACGATAACATCGTCCCCATCGTCTTCCTCCATGGGGTCATCGAATCGGCCCCGTGCGTGCTCTTCCTCCTCATCCTTATGGTGGTCATCACGACTATCGTGACTCCCATGTCTTGGCTGCGGCTCTGAAGGGTGGCTACCCTCCCGGCCTCCTTGTCCCTTAACCTTGAATGATACCGGAGCCGCTGGCACAGTTGGTGTTGCGGGCTTCGATCGAGTTGGAAGCGACGTATCTATCTCTTCACTGTTCCGTCGGGGTCCTGGGCTGGCCGAGCGGCGAGGAGAAACAGGTCTGCCATGGTTGCTTTGCTTGTCTACCGTTCCCTTATCATCGCGATCTCGTTGGCTGTGGCGACCCTCATCTCGGCGACGTCCTCCTCGGTCTTCCGTGCCTCCTCGAGGCCTCTCGTCGCGACGATCACGGTCGCGAGTTGGTGATCGCGAGCGCCTGCGGTCCCGTCTGTCTCTCGAGCGTGACCGATACCTGCGGTAGTTGCGATCTCTGTCTCTATCGCGATCCCGGCCATGGTCGTCCTCACGGTCTCTGCGATGGTCGCGGTCGCGGTCACGATCCTGATCGTAGTCCCTCTCTCTTCCTCCCCTGGATGGACGATCCCTCCTGCTGGAATCGTCGTAGTGAGGCCTGTCACCTCCTCGTCGGAACGACCCGTTCGACCGGTCTGCCATTTTGCTGTGTTGTTTGTAGATGGAAAGGCGGTGGAAGCGGTCGAAAAATAGTGGGGGGTGTGCGACGCTGGAGCTTGTGACGTGGGGAGGATTCTGGAAGGTTGGGCGCGGCTCAGGCGGCTGGCAGAACTGCATGCGGGTCTTGCAGGTATGTACCCAGGTACCAAGATGTGGCTTGGGGGACGCCACAACCGTGGACAGTTTCTGTTTGTGATGCTTCCCCTACCAAACCGTAAGGGTTTTTAAAAAAGATTAGAGCTTGTCTTGTGATGTGGGGTTTGTATTAGAAGCACTTTTCGGCCCTCGAAGTCAGACTTTATCCGATCAATGAGTTCCTTATGTGAGGTTTGCAACTTGATGTGTGGCTTGTGCGCAAGCCTCGAGGTACTTTTACCACCTGGACGCGGGGGTAGGTAGGTATGATGCTTCCAGCAACAGAGCTAGGCCCAGAACAAGGCAACACCAGCAGCTTCGATCGTGCATTGAGCAAACCAGCTTGGTCCTCAGGTCTCACCACTCCCTACATTGACGGCCATTATTACTTTTTGCATCTGGCTGAGTTCCTTGCTCTGTTGTTCCAGCTGGTTCGCCAGCCGTGCAGCCTTCGCTTCGTCGAAACGCCGCCCAGCTAAGCAACCTCCTCAGATTACAGCTGCAGACTTCCGTCCTGCATCGCGCAGCTTCGCCCTGCTTCCGGAATACCCCGCCGCCGATGGCATCGTGAATCTACGAATAGCACCCATCATATCCGGGATAACACCCCGGACAAAGGCCGCTCCAACAAGCCAACACCATGGCCCAGCCGTCAGAGGGCGATATTGAGACAGTGATGTCAATCACTGGCCTAGGCGACAGAGCTCTCGTTGCTTCAGCATTGAAGGCAAAAAACAACAATGTCGAAGCTGTCGTGAATGGTTATTATGACAACCCCGAGAGGGTCAGTCCCCCCCCCTCAACCCTGCTGTCCTCCCCCCCCATCCCCCCGCTCAAGCGCTGACTGGTCGCAGTTCGGAAAGGAGTTCTCCTGGGACGAAGGGGTTTTTGGTTCCAGCCGTGAAGGGGATGTCGCTTCTATGAACAATAGCGCCAATCCATGTGAGCTTCCTGAATCTCGGCAAGCCAGAACTGGTCCTAACATATCTTCCCTTCAGCCTTTGTGGTTCACGCACCAGACAATAGCCAAGTCATCTACGGATCTGATCCTGGATACTACGGGCACATGGCGCCCTCACGGCCTCCGTCGCGGGCGAACACTAGATCTCCTATCGGGCGACTGGTTGACATGACCACAAGCGAGTTTGAGGGCGCTGCGCCAAACAACAAGCATGAAGAGGACGCGCTCTTGCAACAAGCAATAAACGAATCTCTCCACTCCAACAGCCCCCAAGGCCTGCCGCCCCCGCCGCCTCAACAGTCTGGTGTTACTCCCGGCGCAGATACCGAGAAATATTTTGGCCCGGCTAACCGGGGGGAATATAAGGCTGATGAGTGGGCTATGGTCCCAAGCAAGGGCCGAAACCCAGACCCAGCTGCATGTGCGAGGAAGAGGGCATCTGATACTCCAGCATTCCTGAGGTGCCGTGAAGAAGGTTGGGGAAACAACCACCGCATTGGCGCAATTCTGATGATATTACACACCATCCCCGCCGCTCGCAACGCCTTGCTTCGGACTGGCGTGCGACCCGACTATGGTTACGGCAGTAGCTCTGAGTGGTGGAAAGGCGCCGTGATCTTGCCGCCAGATCAAGTAGCTCTTAAGGAGTCACTCAAGGAATCTCAAGCGACCGACGTCTGGTCGTCTGATGAGGTCCATCTCTATCCACCGTGGACCGATGAACTCCACCGCTTGGTGGCCTTTCTCGACAATACCGAGCGAAGCTATGGCACGGCCGATATTCTTGCCGAAAGCCGATTCGCGCTTCTTGAGGCGTCGGGCGACAAAGAAAGGGATTTCTTCCAGGAGCTGAACCGAGACGCATCCCTGGAAGGCGCTGTTTTCAGGACATATCTTGATGAAGTCTCTATTACAGACTCATCCACCACCACGAAAGAGTCGGATTTCGCCATCCTCGATAGCGAGTTTCCTAAGGAGCATCTCGCAATGGCGGAAACCCTTTATAACATATGGGACATGCTTTTCTACACCCATACCAGTGGATCCAGCGATGATGCCGAGACAACAATGATGGCCACGATCACAAAACCCGCTGAAGTTCTAACGTTCCGCATTGCTACACACGCACTGCCGACATCTATCGAGATTCCCGAGACATTTTATCTGGACAGATACCTTTCAGGACGCATCGAGGAGATGAAGCAGATCCAGGTTGAACAGTCCGCTATTCACATTGCCTACCAAAAGAGTGGCGAGCTAGAGCAGAGACTTACTCAGTGGGTTGACCCTACGAATGGTAAGTCCTGGGACCGAAGGGTATTGAACAAGGCTGGCATCAAGCGGTGCCAAGAAAGGATCACACAAATCAAAAACTCTGCGCGTTGGAGAAACCACGAGGAGGCGCGTGAGCGAGGGGAAGACGCCGAATATTATCTGCCGGATCATGAAAAAGACCCCGACATGGTGTCGGAGGAAGCCAATGTGGTGGCCCACTACGAGGCACAGATTCGGCGGCTCGAGGCCAACTTGACAAGAATCAATCAAGTGATGAGTGGTAAGTTAGAACCGTTCCAATGTCTGGGTCAGAACACAAGCGTTAACAGACTTATTCTTTCAGAGGAGGTTCTGCCTCAAAGGAAGGCCCTCGAGTCGCTTTCACGTCATGTGTCCTCGCTGTTGACGGCTCTATCTGATGACCCCAAATGGAATCCAACGCACAAGTATACTCTCCGGGGTGTTGTCAGCCAACCGACCAAGGTCTTTGTGCGGAAGCGGGAAACATCCCTTATGGAAATGGAAGAAAGTGCCGCACCAACCGAGCAATGGTGGAAGCTTTCGTGCGAGCCAGAAAACGACTACATAGTAGCCAGCGAGGTACATCAACCCAAGGAGTTGTAGATGATGGATTATGCTAACACTTCAGTAGGCAACCACATTTGACGCCGTAGTGCGCGAGGCCTGCGGTGCTGGTAGCAAGCCGATTCTCATTTATGCGACAGACAAAGCTATGGACGAGGCTCCAGAACCCCTGCCAGACGCCTTGAAAACCTTCGTTAAGTTCGACAATCGGCACTTTAAGATGGAGCAGGCCCAGGCGGAAGCAGAAGCAGAACAACCAAATCCGCTAGATGAGATGTCGTACTTATCAACGCTCCGAGCTGCTGGCCTTCACCTGAAGAAGAAGCGATCGACTGACAGCATGGACTCAATGGCAACGAATCAGGCCTCTGCTGGTGACATCGACGAAGACATGCAGGACGTGACCCAGTTCCAGTTCGACGACGACACGTTCGGCAACGATGGCACTCTAGGCCACGAGGACGTTCATGAGTTGGTGGATATTTCTGTCGCAGACGGCAGTTTATCTGAGCAACAGATTCCTCTGCTGCGGAGAGATTCGCCGCCGCCACAGGAAATGCAAGAGCGAGCAAACATGCCGCTTATTAGGCGGCCGTTGAGTGGCATCTTCGAGCCCGGTACTGATATGGGAAATATTTAGTTGGGCAGGTCACCTTGTTGGTTTTACGCTACTTATATGTACAGCCCAGGAGCAGGCACATTTGAACTGTCAACCTGCAAACACCCATATTGCATTTGAAGAAGCGCTGTCAGATAGCGAAGCATATGATACCCGAGCATGAGTCATCTCGCCAGCTGTCTCGATTTGTTGTGTACTGTCTCCCTTTCTCCAACCCATGGTGATTGTTTCCATCCTGGTATCAAGGATCAAAAGAGTCCACGTCACTCTTCCCGTCGTCTCCGGAGCCTCCTCTAAACAAGCCTGGTCGAATACCAGGTGGGAGGCCCTAGATACAGCTTTGCTGTGTTCTTGTAAATGCATGTATTTGCGGTTGACTTACATGCATCAAATCGTGACAATGAACCACACAACCCAGTCTCATAAAGACGCGAAATAACTGAACGGCCCAAGAGAGAGCCAATGTAGAAGACAGGCAGTCATCGATCATCCACATTCAAGAAGGATATTACAAAAATAAGAGTTAGTTGCGTCATTCGAGAATCGAACTCGAGTCCTGCGTATTCTCACATCGAGATGGATGGGAAACGCAGATGATAACCACTACACTAATGACGCTGTGGTTTTGGACACTCAAGTGTGCCACCTGGTTTCTAAGGGGGACTCCGTCTCGGATTGCTAAAATGGCCCGTCTTACATGATGTCTGTGTAACCGTTGAGCCGGGGAATGAATTGGGAGAAGGGGAGAGGATGGGAGGCTGATGAGACCGTGGTAGAGCGGGGTGAGGGATACCCAACCGTCGGGAAAATGTGGGGCGGGAATGGCTTGAGGGGTAGGTAGGTAGGTGCAGGGATGTGGTGCGGGGCGAACTTGAGACGGCGACAGGAAGCTCTGGAAGCTACGGTGATTGTGTCATGCCCCAAGACCGATAACCACAAAAGTCCAAACGTTCCGACCAGCTTGGCTCCCAACGCCCGCGCACCGGATCCGAAGCGTACAAAGCAACCGTGACCTTGTCTCGACACAGATTCCACCAAGATGGCGTCCAAGATCGACCGCATCATCGCGCGGCTGCAGAAGCGCATTGCCGAAGGCCAGCCTGAGGAGCAGTACGAGGCGCAACAGGAGACACGGCTAGTCGCTGCCCGATACACCAAGGCGAGCAACTGGCCTGCGGCGATCGATATTCTGTCGAGCGTGTCACAGGCGTTATTGAAGGCAGGGCAGGGCGGCAGCGGTGGTGATCTGGCCATTCTGCTGGTCGATGTGTACAAGCAGTCGAGCCAGAAGCCCGATGCGACATCCAAAGGCCGACTGTTGACATGTCTGCGGTTGTTCGATAGCGAGGAGCCGACACGCAAGAAGTTCATCAAGGAGATGATGGAGTGAGTTCCCCCGCGCCGTCAGAGCTCAAGGGGGTCCGTGGCTAACGCGCATCGCAGCTGGTCAAGGAAGTTTGGCGACTACCCCGCTGGCGATCCCGAGCTGCACCATGTGGTGGGGTCACTATACGCCGAGGAGCACGCGGCTGAGGAAGCCGAGAGGCACTTGATATTGGGAACGAAGGACTCCGCTGAGGTCCTGACCCGCATGGAATATGAGTGGTACAAGCAGGACGAGCCGCACAAAGCACCCATCTACGCCGCACGGGCGATCCTACCCTACCTACTCGTCGCTAATGTCCGCGCCGCCAACGTCTCGTACCGAACTTTCATCAGCACACTCAGCGAAGAGAACAAAAGCCTCGGCGTGCAGGACGTGAGTACCCAGAGCTCCGATGTCCGAATCTTTCCCAGCCTGCCACTTCTCAATTTCCTCGGCCTCCTCCTGCTCGCAGTCCAAAAGGGCAGCCCCGACCTGTTCAGGCAACTGAGGACCAAGTACGCAAGCAATATCGTCGAGCTAGGAGGTGCGTGGGACCAGGCTCTGGAGATGGTTGCTGAGATGTACTTCGGGATCCAACGGCCACGACAGAGCAATCCGCTGTTTGACATGATGGGGAGTTTGTTCGGCGGGGGCGGTGCTCCAGGAGGCGCTGGGTCCAGACCGGCAGGGCGTCGTGTCGAAGCGGCACCTACCGCCGAAGGCTTAGACTAAGTCGGTAGACAAGGAGCGGGCCGGTTCGTCAAACCGCTTATCTTCACGGCAAGGTCGAGCAGACACAGCCTTGCCAGTAAAGTAGGTAAAACGGATCAATACAACAAAATGTCGCTGGCTGTTCATACAGAACCTAGAAATGCAGAAAGAGACAAATCATACCGCATCATAACTGGTGACGCGGCAGCTCTTCTCGCTCAAACATCCAGTTGTCCTCTGAGAGGACAGAAACCTTCGCCCTGAGACTTGCCCTGACCGCCTCAAGGAGCTCTGCAACACCGTCAGCCCTCCCCATCTACCGTGACCAGAAACGAGCAGAGATAACACAATGCAAAACTCACCTTCAGGCTGCGCCGGAATACTATTCTGCCCAATCTGATGCTGCTTAACTGCCTCCGCCAACCTTTGCCGTTCCCTTTCCCCCTCCATCCCCGCATCCATCCCCGCCTCGTCCGCATCGATCACCGGCGTAGGTGGATCCCCCAACTCGATCTCCCCATTCTTATCACGAATCACAATATCCAGAAACGCCGCTGGTGCCGCCGCTGCTGACGGTGCCCCCTCAGCCGGGACATGCACATCCGCGTCCAGCCTGAGCGTCTCAGCGGAGCCCGTCCCTGAGGCGGAAGACGAAACGGAGGACGACCCAGCGGTTGGTCGGCGGGTTAGTTGGCTTTGGAAGAGATTGCGACGAACGTTAGTCGAAGCGGATGACGCCGATGCCGAGTTAGTGCTGCGCATGGAGGAGGTCTTGGAGACGCCTCCGGGAGGTGGACGCGTGGGGTGGCGGTCGGCCATTTGGCGTAGTTGGGTGGGTTGTTTCGTTGGGCCTCTAGCGTTATTCGTGTGGGTTATTGGTTTGTTTTCTGGCAGAGGTAACAAATATTTGGGTGAGATGCGCCCAGGTTGATGAGGTGACTCTGGTTTGCCTCGGATTATCAGGACTTCCTCTGCTTGTTTGTCGACGCGGGATGGAAAGTGGTGGGGTTGACTGGTAGTGGGGTATTTTGGCACTGGGCTTCGGGATTGCAACGCGAGCTCACGTGGGCATCCTCCAGGGACTTACTTCTGGGGCAAATCAAGGTTCGCAAGAGTCCATAATTCGGCATTATATTTTGGTCTATGCCTCCCAGGCCTTGAGATATGCGCGTATCGCTTTTAGGACCACAGCGCCACCCAGATCCGATTTCCTTCCAGGTTTGCCTGTTACCACAGGCTCGATCCTGTCTTCTCTGAGCCTGCTCGCTCCCCAACCAGGTCATCCCTCATCGTCATCACATCGTAAGCCCAACTGACTACCTTAGCCTTCCAAAAAAGAAAACACAGACTATCCAAATTTGCCAAAACAAAAACAAAACACTTGGCAGTTATAGGGGTATATGCCTGTTGCCCTCGGTCCCGATTCCATTTTCTCCTTTCCCTTTTGAATTCCCGCGTTATATCCCTTTCAAGCCAAGGAAAAAAAGGAAGCAGCCGATCCATCTATAGGTTTCCCACAGTGTATGTCGTACAGTATCGTGTTTCCAAATGTCCAAGCGCATGAGCTCACCCTTGGTCGATGGCTTTCCCTTTGTCTGGGGCCGTCTCGACCGACTTGAGTAATTGCCTGAGGCTTCTCTGGCTCAATGTATCCTGAGCTTTGGGTGGTCCCTCGGTGCCAACCTTCGACTGGGTTCTCCACGGGATCCAACTACTCCAAGAAGCACGTCCGCTAGCCTCCTGCAAGCCTTCCTGGTGAGGAAGTTCATCAGCAAGCTCAACCTGCTGGATTGGCGAAGGAGGAGTGCTGTTCTGCGACCCGCTATCACTCGGCGCAGCATCTGGGGTTGTTCTGACTGCCAAGTTTGTATTGGACGTTTGTGGCAGAGCAGGCTCGCTCACTAACGCTGAAGGAGCATCGTTCTTCCCAGTGCTGCGACTGTTATCGATGATGGCTGAAGCAAACGATGCCGACTTTTTCCGTGCCAGTGGGGTGTTCAAATCTCGCTGATGGGAATTGTTTTCTGCAACGTTGGCGGTTGACCCTGACTTCGACCCCGATCCAGTCGAGCTGTCCCACTTCTTCTTGGCAGCCCTTCCACGAACTTCCTCAGCAATCTCAGCTGCTGGCTTCTTTTTGGTTTGATCCTCCTCAGAAGACCGACTCGACGACATTATTGTCTCCAAGGTACCATAAGCAACGCTCTTTCTCCTGCCTCCACTCCTCCGTTTCCCACGCGAGCGAGTGGCAGCCCCATCATCGTCATCTGAGTTGAAAGCTTGAAGTGTGGGACCTCCAACATTGTGGCCTTTCCTCCTGTGCCCTGAGACCGTTGATCCCGTGAACGACGTCCCTGAGCCGTGTGGTGCCACATGGACTTCGTATTGATTGCTCAAAGAGTACCGCGAGCGCGCACATATCTCTGCTATGCGGTCCAAGTCGGCACCAATGTCGTCCTCGCCCCCGCGAGCCTGCATGTCTGCCATGAAACTCTTGAAGGAGAATGCCTCCAGCGGGGGTAACTTCGCCTCGTCATAGTCTGGACGGCCGGACTGCCATTGCCACGGAAGGGGCAGCGGTAGTGATAGAGGAAGCGGTAGCTTGCCGCTGCTCTTCTTGGGTTTGTGTCGTGGCATGCTCAATCCGCTAGCCCGACTCCCATTGTCCACCGCTGGTTGGCCAGTACTCGTGCTAGCGGCGCCAATGCCACTCAATGCAGGCTGGGTAGGCCTCCCCGAGAGGCTGGCAGCGCTCTGACGAGATGACACCGGTAATGGAACCCGTCTTGCAACGCCGCGGCTCCCACTTGAGGGTCGGTAGCGGGGGCTACGGACGCCGTGCGAGGTTTGAGGCGGTGGCGGACCGCTGTACGTTCGCACTAGGACCGGTTGCGAGTAGGTGCTGCTCTGGGCTCCGGCGCTCTTGGTATAGCGGTGTCGGCGAACCTCGGACGGATACGTGCTGTTCAGTTTCTGGAGGGCCGATGTGCGGTGGGCCGCCGTGGTGTTGTCGAGCGGGATGGCCTTGCCTTCTGCGGTGGACGGCGCAAGAGACGTTGACGACGCGTTCGGCTGGAAGAGCGGCGGGAAAGGAAAGGGGAGCGAGAAAGGGTTCCTCTTGGGCTGAGAGACCGGCTCGGCAGACGAGGGGCCGGGTACGGCTTCTGACCCGGGCGGCGGAAGGGAGGAAGAAGTGGAGGCGATATGTGTCGAGGGGCCAAGGGCGAGAGACGACGTCGATGGGGTTACAGGATCAGAGTCCCGCTCTGCCTCTGCCCCGCCTAGCGGGCGAGGAGCGGGTGGCTTGCTGTTTATATACATCTGGCATCAAGGGAATAAACGGCGTCCGCAGAGCGATGGGCGATGGGGCACGCAGTACTAGACTGGTGGAGGCGGGCTGCCGGGGGTTGCAGCATGCAGTGTGTCGTGGTAGCACTGGAGCATCTCCCGGACGGCGGCGTGGAAGAGACGGAAGCACGATCACGGGCGGTACGAGGACGACATGGTGCGTCACTGGCGAACTCTGCAAAAAACAAATGCC